TGTGCGGTGTTACAGTCTGGCTCTGCCCTTTGCCTACTGCTGAAGCCTGCTATAACTGCGGCCGAGGCGGCCACATCGCCAAGGACTGCAAGGAGCCCAAGCGGGAGCGGGAGCAGTGCTGCTACAACTGCGGCAAGCCCGGCCACCTGGCCCGCGACTGCGACCACGCGGACGAGCAGAAGTGCTACTCCTGCGGCGAGTTCGGGCACATCCAGAAAGACTGCACCAAAGTGAAGTGCTACCGGTGAGCTGCCGGGGCTGCGGGGGCCTGGGCTGGCCGTCGGGGGAGGGCCCAGGGGGCTGCGGGGGCCCAGGCTGGCCGTCGGGGGAGGGGCCCGGGGGGCTGTGGGAGCCCGGGCTGGCCGTCAGCGGAGGGGCCCCAGGGGGCTGTGGGAGCCCAGGCTGGCTGTCGGGAGGGGCCCGGGGGGCTGTGGGAGCCTGGGCTGGCCATCAGGGGAGGGGCCCGGGAGCCGCTGCGGCCCCGACGTGGCCCTGACCACACGAGGGGTTTGCGTGCATGAAAGAACGTTAGGGTGTAATAATTTGGCACCTTCAGAGACTTTATAGAAAATGACAAAGTGTATGTTTTGTGTGTGTAGTTCATACACAAATGTTTTGTCATGAAATTAGAAGTCTCTGCTTGTGAATGTAACATCATGTATACATGTTAAAGCATAAAATTTCATAAGTTTCGATATGTACATGCTTGTGAAATCTTAGGAGTTAATTTGGCCAGTGCTTTGGCGGTGGTGATGGATGATCTGCTGTGGCACAGTCTCTTACTTCACGCTGTGAACTGCTCAGTTGAGTAGCTTTGCTGTCAGGCTCCTCCTCCTTGGTCTCACTTTAGGGTTAATAAGACTTACTGTCTGAAAACACAAATGTACACTTCACTCATCATTGCCTTTTGTGTTGCAGTGACTAATCCTTCAGTACACTGACGTTTTCTGAGCGCTATTGTGAAAGCTCTTTTAATTTCCTCTCGTAGGTGTGGTGAGACTGGTCACGTAGCCATCAACTGCAGCAAGACGAGTGAAGTCAACTGTTACCGCTGTGGCGAGTCAGGGCACCTGGCACGGGAATGCACGATCGAGGCCACAGCTTAATTACTTTCCTTTGTCGCCCCTCCTTTTCTGATTGATGGTTGTATTATTTTCTCTGAATCCTCTTCACTGGCCAAAGGTTGGCAGATAGAGGCTACTCCCAGGCCAGTGAGCTTTACTTGCCGTGTAAAAGGAGGAAAGGGGTGGAAAAAAAAATCGACTTTCTGCATTTAACTACAAAAAAAAGTTTATGTTTAGTTTGGTAGAGGTGTTAATGTATAATGCTTTGTTAAAGAACCCCCTTTCCGCGCCACTGGTGAATAGGGATTGATGAATGGGAAGAGTTGAGTCAGACCAGGAAGCCCGTTCTGGGTTTCTCGAATATGTTCCCATGTAGGAGGTAAAACCAATCCTGGAAGTGTCTGTGAGCTTCCATAAATAACTTTAATTTTAGCATAATGACTGCCTTGGATTGTCTGACCTCAGTAGCTATTAAATAACATCAAGTAACATCTGTATCAGGCCCTACATAGAACATACAGTTGAGTGGGAGTAAACAAAATAAAAAGACAAGCATTCGTGTTGATGGCTGTGCGAGAACACAGGATAAAAGCCTGAGCAGGAGCAGCCTCACCACAGCGTCGACGCTGGGTAAATAGACGGTGATGGCAATGGTGTAGAACACACGTTTTCAAAGACTAAATCTAAAACCCAGAGTAAAACATCTATGCTCAGAGTTAGCATAATTTGGAGCTATTCAGGAATTGCAGAGAAATGCATTTTCACAGAAATCAAGATGTTATTTTTGTATACTATATCACTTAGACAACTGTGTTTCATTTGTTGTAATCAGTTTTTAAAAGTCAGATGGAAAAAGCAACTGAAGTCCTAGAAAATAGAAATGTAATTTTAAACTATCCAATAAAGCTGGAGGAGGAAGGGGAATTTGACTAAAGTTCCTTTTGTTTGTTTCAACTTTTCATTAATGTATATAGTGCAAAATGCCATATTAAAAAGGGGAGTGGAGGACCGGAAGCTGACAGTTTGGAGTTTTCTTTTTGTACTAACCCAGTCTCGTCTTCAGTAAGGAAACATAGCTGTTAGAGGGAGCATAGGCTTCATATGCTTTGTCAGCCCTGCAAGGATATGGACAGTTTAATTCTTCTCATCCATTATAATGATGGCCTTTAGTTCCACATTGATTCTGAACAGTTCTAACACCATGGATGGTTTTTGTTAAAGTTTTTTTTTTTTTATGTGGACTCTCTTTAAAGTCTTCATTGAGTTTGTTACTGTATTGATGTTGTTTTGTGATTTTTTTTGGCTGCAAGGCGTGTGGGATCTTGGCTCCTGGACTGGGGATGAACCTGTGCCCCTGCACTGGAAAGCGAAGGCTTACACGCTGGACCACCAGGAAATCCCATTACACTTTTAGCATCTCGAATTTTCCTGGACTCCACGGGGATCTGAAATGTTGGATTCTTTGTGTTTTCTCTTAAGGTCTGATCTAGAGTTGACATGGACCTTAGAGTCATTTAATGATCTCACTTTATAGATGAGTTGCTGGAAGAATGTGCAGCTGCCTGGAACCTCAGGTGCCCTTCCTCTCCTACACCCTCTGAAGGGTCCTGTCCCGTGCCCCATGAAGGTGGCTCGCTGCCCCTTCGCACTGCCCGCTGGTGTCTTCTCCGTGAAAGCGCCGTGCGTGCGGCACGCGTGTAATCCGGTCAGCGTGTGATGGGGGGTCACTGGCGCTGCAGTCGCCAGAGCAGCAAGAGAGGGAGCTCCCAGCACCAGTTCATTTCCTTGCTTGAGGCTTTGTTTTGCTTCTGTGGTTGAGTTGCTTGCATTGTTTCTTTTTGGCTGAGTGGCACCACATATGCGATCTTACTTCCCTGTGTCTCCTGTCTGGAAGCTTGGAGTCTTCATCCTGGGGCAGCCAGCAAAGTCCCTTTGATATTTTTATGAAGCAAGTGTTGTATCTCAGATGTTAAGCATGTTAGAGATATGATAATTTTAGTTTTCTGGCACAAGTATGAAACAGTGGTATTGCACTGCATCAGTCTTACTGCTGATATAGAACTTGACCTCTTGCATTGAAATGACAGGCATTTCCCTTGAAAAGTCAGTAATCTATCATTCATTCACCTGATGATTTTAGCATTTCCTGTTCTTTGTGTACAGTTGGGAGAAATGAAGACTGTCCTCCCTGGTTCAACAAAACCAAGTGGTACTAAGTGATACAGTGCCCTTCAGGGTTTTTTTTTTCCCTTCAGAGTTTTGAGGATTCTGGTAAATAATGAGTATCATCCACTAAGGAAGAGTTGATTTTTTTAGATAGAAATAGATTTATGTTGCAGTTGTAGGGAAAACAGTGCCTTGAAGGATTTTGTCTGGGATGTTGGTAGCTGTTGTGCTTGAGTTATTTTGACTATTTTATATGTTAAATTATTCATGGCACAGGCTGTCCTTGACTTAAGGCAGTTCCACAGTCAGTAGGTGAGGCGCCTGACTTGTAGTGAGACACTGTTGTCTACTCAAGTGTCAGAGGCAGGTTCTTGAGAATTCGGGGCTGTCAGAGAAGACAGCATATACTTGTACCATCTGTTCTCTGTTCCCATTTATTCTTATTAGTTGGAGGCTAATTACAGTATTGTAGTGGGTTTTGTCATACATTGACATGAATCAGCCATGGATTTACATGTATTCCCCATCCCGATCCCCCCTCCCACCTCCCTCTCCACCCGATCCCTCTGAGTCTTCCCAGTGCACCAGGCCCGAGCACTTGTCTCATGCACCCAACCTGGGCTGGTGATCTGTTTCACCCTAGATAATATATGTGTTTCGATGCTGTTCTCTTGAAACATCCCACCCTCGCCTTCTCCCAGAGTCCACAAGTCTGTTCTATACATTGGAGTCTCTTTTTCTGTTTTGCACATAGGGTTATCGTTACCATCTTTCTAAATTCCATATGTATGTGTTAGTATACTGTAATGGTCTTTATCTTTCTGGCTTACTTCACTCTGTATAATGGGCTCCAGTTTCATCCATCTCATTAGAACTGATTCAAATGAATTCTTTTTAATGGCTGAGTAATATTCCATGGTGTATATGTACCACTTAACTCATTTTTAAAACCTGGTAGAAATTCCAGTGGTCCAAAAGATTTTGAGCACATTGTTCATTGGGCTCATGTAACTGCTGCAGCCGTTTAAAACATTTAACAACAGTTTTCTGCTGCTGCTGTTGCGTCACTTCAGTCCAACTCTGTGCGACCCCACAGACGTCAGCCCACCAGGCTCCCCTGTCCCTAGGATTCTCCAGGCAAGAACACTGGAGTGGGTTGCCATTTCCTTCTCCAGTTTTATAGAGGAGGTGTTAAAGAACATCTCTGTTAGAATTAAAGAGGCCAGCATTTAGCATGACTTTCTCAGGGTGGATACTGAGCAGTATTTTGTAAGCTGCTCAGTGACTCTAGGGCACTGCCGGATTGAAAACTCCTGGGATAAGGAGGCAGTGGTGTGGTTACAATTTGAGAACTCAGTCCAGAGCTTGTGCTCTGAATTACAAAGGTTCATGTACATTTAATTATCCTTGTTACTTGCCTTAGAATTGAAAGATCACATTGGACGTAACCGCTTCCCATCCGTTCATTTCCACCTCTGCTACGGACCTTGGCATCGAACTTGACTACTAGTCATCTCGGTAAAGGTTTGGTAGCAAGCTGTGCTGTCAGGCCCGTCTCCTGAGCAGGCTGCTGACGTACGTGACGGTAATGAGGGTCAGAGTGGTGTCTCCAACGTCACAAACGTGCTGTTCTCACACTTGGGTTTCTGCTCTTGTGCTCATGAAAACACACCTTCCTAGACGGGCCTGAGTGACTGAGGCAGCTGCAGTGAGTGAAACGCATGCACTTCAGCTGGTTGGGGTGCTTTTGTGTTCCTCATCTTGTTTTCCATGGAGGGTACTTTGCAGTATGAACCACAAACCCTGGCCTGGAACCTGACCACTCTGGTCTCCACCAGAGAACACTGCTGTGTGACCGCTGTTGGGCAAAGAGCATTTGGTGGCAGAGGCATTAACTTCAGTGACTCCTCGGTAGGCCTTCCCCAGTTCATCCAGACTGGCTTCTTTCACAAGCAGGGCTACCTGCACTTGTCGCCACCCTCCCTCGCGGCCCTTCTTTCCCAGCCGCGCCCTCCACTTCCTTCAGGTTGTGAAGTAGCTGTGGCTCGCTTGCCCTCTCGTGCCCTGTCACAATAGTTGCTGGAGCAAGATGAACCCAGGTCTCCTGCATTGCAGGCAGATTCTTTACCATCTGAGGCTTGTCACAGTCTGGGAGATGGGAACTATGTCTGTATTTCCTGGTCAGGCCACAGGTGTGTGCATTAGGCCCGGTTTTTCCAGCACTCCCAAGTCTGAGGCAGCCTTATTTGATCACTGGAGCTTTAGGGAGCCTTCCAACCAAGGACTGATTATAGCCAGATGAGTGTGTACGGTCTAGAGAAGACTTGCAGCTGGTTTATTAGAGGGATGGGCATTTCTTTTCGGGGGTGCCGTGCTGGGCCTTCGTTGCTGCGTGGGCTTTTCCTGGTCGTGTGAAGCGGAGGCTCCTCTGTAGCTGTGGGGTGTGGGCTGCTCGTTGCAGGCGCTTCTGTTTGGAAGCACCGGCTCTAGGGTGTGTGAACTTCAGTCATGTGTGCTCCCACGCTCGAGCACAGGCTCAGTAGTTGTGGCGCATGGGCTTCATTGCTCCGAGGCGTGAGGGATCTTCCCAGCTCAGGAATCAAACTCGACTGGGAGGTGGACTCTACGGCTGGGCCACCAGGGGAGCCTGGGATGGGCCTTTCTTTCAGTGCCTCCTTGTGTTATTTTCAGTTTGGGTAAGTGAAACTCTTTGTGCAAATGATGTGGTCTGTTTAAACGCAGATGAGGTGACACTTGTCCAAGCTGTGGCCATTTGCTTATTCACTTAATATTCTGGGTGAAATACTCGACCACAGGAGCCTGGACAGATAACGGAAGAGGTCAGAGCTCGCGGTCACTGACGGTGAGAGTCGTGTGCGACTTCTAAAACCTGGCTAAGTCGTTTCTCACCTACCCCAAGGGCCATCTCAGCACCTCTGTACCCGGATCTCCAAAACTCCTGGTTTTAGCAGCAGAGCCTTCCTGTGTCTGAAGCTGTGTAGTACCATGCAGGCAGCACACCACACTCAAGTGTCTGCTCTGGCCCAGCCAGTAGCTCTGAGCTCGATCTGTAAAGTGAAGAAAAGCTATCTTGCAGAATCACTTTATAGTGATTGGGTGACGAGACATCGTTGGTAAAGGGTCGAATAATCAATGGTACCTATTGTTTGTTTTCACACTTCCTGCAGTGCCACCACACTGCATCCTGCTGAGAGGAACACCTCTCAGTGTTTGGCAACCCTGAAATGGGGCGGGATGAGCCAGTTATCAAATGCTTAATTGTCTGGCCACTAACTCCAGACTCCGGAGGCAGCGGGTCATGCGGGTGAAGCTGGTCAGCTGGCAGATGAAGGAGCTGGTGCTGCAGGAAACAGGTTGAGGGCCCTGTCCCTCTGGGGACGACAGCAGCAACTTGGCTCTGCTTTATTGAGTAGAACTGCCTACTACTTTAAACTTCCTTTAATGCATTCTTGTCTGACCCTGAGCCACATTTTGAAAATCAGCTTTTCTTGGGCATTTAGATCTTGATTCAAAATTAGTTCCCATCCTAAACTTTGATTATAAATGCAATTTCGCTTTGGAGATTTGAAGCAGAAACACTACAAGTGTAATGGATTAAAGTCTTATTAGTAACTGAAGTTTTTCTTAAAATTTTGGGATGCTCCAATCATACCCCTTCCCAAGGATTCTGCATGTGCGAAAGTTGCTCAGTTGTGTCCGACTTTTTGCAACCCACGGACTATACAGTCCATGGAATTCTCCAGGCCAGAATACTTAAGTGGGTAGCCTTTCCCTTCTCCAGGGGACCTTCCCAACCCAGGTCTCCCACATTGCAGGTGAATTCTTTACCAGCTGAGCTAGCAGGGAAGCCCCCCAAGGATTCTACCATAACTCATTTTTACTCTTTTCTTGGGTGTTAATTCTATTAGACCCAACAGAATACCATCCCCTCACAAGCACGGGAGTTTCTGGTATATTCGGCTAGTTACCTGTAATTTGAAACAAGCCCAAAGTTGATTAAAAGCTGCGACACTGCCTGTGAGGTGCAATCCTCTTTCAGGAGAGTTGTGTTATTTTAGTCTCATACTGGCCTATCTTTATTCTCCACTAAGAACACAGTGCTCCAGGATCCATTCAGATCACAAGGAGTCTGTATTAACTTCCAGGTCTTGGGGGACCAGGACATGTACATGAAGGGAGGGTATGCTTCTGCCTCAGATGGACCCTGTCAGCATCTCATCCTAACATCACTAAAAGCGTCATCCCATCCAAGATACAAGTCTGCTCTAAGTTTGGTCGGCTACAGAGGCCCCAGTCTGTCCTAAATCAGGTATGGGTGAGATCTCGGTATGATCCAGCCTGGGGCATCACTCCTATCAGGAGCTCTGTGACTTGCTCCCCAAGATGAGTGGGGGAGGTACAGGGCCCCAGTAAAAAAGACAGGACACTGCCCTTCAGGATGGGAGACTAGAAGGAAGAGGCCTCACTGGTTTCAACCAGTCACAGGGCACGTGTGTTAGGTTTCAGGGCCTGAGCACACCCTCCGGGCTTCAGCTGCCTCCCCAGGAGCCATCGGCTCCTCTCCGTGAAGGGTAGCACCTGTGCATGGCTCCACGTTGATCAGCCCACGTCCTGCCCCTAGAATTTTGGGGGGTTAACAGCCCTCTTGTGTACCCTCTGTCCCACGCTATCCAAGCTGGCAGTGGTTCTGCAGGTGTGAAATGTTCAACCTTGCGGGTCTCCTGTGTGCGTCATGGGAATTCACTCCATCTGACGAGAGGCTTCTCTGCACGTCTCCTGGATAACCCGTCTGTATTCCTGGCTTCTGCCGAGACGGTTGAAGCGGGCATCAGCCTGGGAGAGCGCCCCCTAAGGCTCACAGTACTAAAGCAGCTACGGGGAAAGGGCAAGGCACATCCATACTGCTCAGGGCACCACCTAAGTGGCACACATTCCTTCCATTCCATTCTCATGGGCCAGGGTTTCCTGGCAAGCCCACGCCTAGCTGTCAGGGAGGTGGACGATGGACTGCGGCAGGACAGCCTGAACTTTTTAAGAGAAAACTTGTCACGGTTCCGGCACGAGCCCCTCGTGTCTGTCCCAAGCACTCGTCAGTCCTGTCTGAACCACAAACGTTGGCTGCGTCCCCCGATGGCCTGTGCTTCCCGGCTGCAGCCGGAGCACCCAGCAAAGATTAGGCCCCGTGTCGCAGGAAGCCGCTTCCGCAAAGCACCATGCTGGCCGAAGGGGAGGTGCTGGCACTGGCCGAAGCGGGCAGCGGGGCCCTGCGGGAGGGGTCGCCAGGTCCACCCCTAGCGGCGGCTTCTTCCCTGACTCCCTGGTCCTGGGCTAAGGTCCTTCTGATGCCCGCGACGCGCCCAGTGCCCATCGGCTGAGCTCCTGCAGTAACGGTCCTTTTCTCCCCCGGGCCTTACGTCTACTTTTAAAGGGTGACCTCAAGCCTTGGTTAAGCTCGGACAGACCCCGCGATTCCGGAGAAAATCTCAGAAGCACAGACCCGAAATAAACGACTGAGAAGGGAGGGGGAGCTGGCGAGGCGAGGCAACCTCCCGCCCCTGACGAGCAAGCGGGCCGCGGGAGGGCCCCCCGTCCACTCAAGAGGGTTGAGGACGAGAAACTTCCAGCGGCGTGTCTCCGCTCCCAGGGACGCGAACCTCAAGGAGCAGCCACGGCCCAAGCAGACTCATCGCGAGGTATCACGGGAAATCTCGCCGTTGTTATCGCGAGAGTAGTACCAGCACCAGCACCACCCCACCACCCGGGTCCTAGTCGAAAACGCTTCCGTTCCATCGCGCAAGCGCAGTTCTGCCACGCCCCTAATTTTCGTGCGCACACGTCGGTGCGACGTCCTGACGCCCAGGGAAGGCTGCCAACGGGAGCGCGCCGGCACTTCCTTCCCGTCCCCTGGTCAATTCTGAGTTTCGCTTCCGGCTCCTCGCTTCCGGTTCCTCGCTTCCGGTTCCCGTAGTTATCCTTCCGACTGGGAAGCCGGTGGTTCGGGAAGGCTAAAACCCTCAGTTCCCGTCTGGATTGGCCGCTCGCGGGGCGGCCGAGGTCCGTGGGCTGGTGCCGCGCGGCCTGAGGGCGGCGCGCTCCCTCTCAGCATGGTGAGCGGGGCGGGGACGAGGGAGGAGAGCGGCAGGCCGGGGCCGAGGAGCCCGGGGGCTCCGGCGCCCGCGTTCGGGACATAGGGCCTTCCCGCCGCGTGAGGCCGGAGGAGGCGAGGGCAGCCCCCCCGAGGGCAGGGTCCAGGGACGGGAGGATGCGCGGTTTCTTTGTTGACCGTGACTTTCTCACCAAGCGAAGCGCCGGTGGGAGGTGCGAGGCGCCGTAGCAAGTTATCGAAGGCGTCATGGAAGTCCGTCGGTTGATGAGAAACCCGGGCGCAGAAAGCAGCTTTCTCCGCTCTCCAGCCCTCGGAGAATATGCCCCTCGCCCCCCATTACTCCTTCACACTGGCCGCCTCAGCCCGCAGGCTCTCGTTTCCGAACTCTGACAAGCGTAGGGGTCTCCTCTCTCCATTCCCTAGCAGAGGAGAAGCTTTGGATGTTTCTGGCAAACTGGCCATCACACTCCTTTTTGTGGGTTTCCATAACCGTGGATTTCGTTGTTCGCTTGCTCAGTAGCGTCCGACTCTTTGCACACCCGTGGACCGCAGCACTCCGGGCTCCCCTGTTCTCCACTCTCTCCCTGAGTTTGCCCAAATTCATGTCCCTTGAAAGTGTTGGCCTCTCAGTCCTGTCCTACCCTTTGACCCTGCGGACTGTAGTCCGCCGTGGGATTCTCTAGGCAAGAATACCAGAGTGGGTAGCTATTCCCTTCTCCAGGGCATCTCCCCGACTCAGGAAAGGAACCTAGGTCTCCTGCATTGCAGGCAGATTCTTTATGGTGTGAGCTACAGGGAAGCTCTGAAAGATGGAGGGCAGGAGGAGAAGGGGCGACCGGGGATGAGATGGTTGGATGGCATCGCAGACTCAATGGGCATGAGTTTGAGCAAACTCTGGAAGATAGTGAAGGACAGAGAAGCCTGGCGTGCTGCAGTCCATGGGGTTGCAGAGTCGCACACGACTGGGTGACCAAACAGCAGCAACAGATGTCCACTGAGCTGTAATCCTGGTTACCTGGTCACATGACTCACTGTACTGGGGAGGGAGATTCCTCTGACTTCCCTCAAAAGGAAGGACCGTGGCCAGATCCATAGTACCCAGCATGGTGTTTCACAAATTACATTAAATACTGAGAATCTATAGGCTTTAATGAAGTAGGTAGGACACAACCTCAGCCTTCAAGAAGATGGCTTCTCCTGGGAGAGCCTCTGTTTCCTTCCTTAGTAGATATCGTGTTCATTTATCTACCGAGCACTCAGCAAGCTTATTTCTGTGTCAGTTGGAAGAAAAAGTCAGAAAGACTTAAGTGGAGCTCACTTTTGCTGAGCACCTGTAAACTGCATCGCTGACGTCTTCACATATTTATCTGCACCATCCTGACGCCTATGTGAGGTGAAAGGTGCGGTCCTTGCCTAGAGATGGGGAAGCTGAGCCTGAAAGAGAATTTCTCAGGGATGCTAAGTGGGAGAGTGGAGAGTGACACTCAGATCCTGGACTCAACAAGTACTCTGCTTACACTGCAACCCAGAAAACGTGTTCCTTGCCTGACACTGTGTTTCAGGGATGAGTGACTTGCCCTCAGTGCTACAATCGTTCCATAAAACTCACTTGTAAAAGCCAGTCTTTCTTTCCTCAAGTTCCACTGGCACAGAGCAGACAGCTGTGATGCTAGGTGGAAAGTGCCTGGTAGGTATAGACCCAGACAAAGGGGAGCAGCCTAGCTGGAAAGAAGGGATGACAGGAGAATTGTCTGGGATGATGATGACACAGGTGGATTCTGAAGGAGGAGTGGCTAGATCCAAGGGAGTGGTCACGGGGAGGAGTAGAGTTTAGGGAGAGCTGCTAAGTCAAGTCACAGGATTTGGACATCTTGATTTTTGTTGTCATTGCTGTGCCCATGCTTCTGACTGTGTCCTGGTGAAGCTTTTCTTTAAATAAAACCTTTTTCTAAAAAGTAAAAGAAAAAGCTCTTTTAAACATGGACGTTTTTCTTCCCCTCTCTTTTCCTTTTAGGCCCGAAACGCAGAAAAGGCCATGTGAGTATCAAGTCCCCTTTGCCTGTAAATTTTATGCTGCTTAATTGCCACCTGGGAGCTCTTTTTCTGTTTGGTCTCTGGGTACACGTTTCTCCCTCTCCCTGTGTTGAAGTAGCGCGCCTATATCTGCCCATGTAGTCATCTCCCCTGAAGTGTTTTCTCACTGCTCCCAGAACTTACACTGCGGCCGGGGTGGGGGGGGGTGGCAGGGCTGTCAGAGCGGCGGCCCATCATATCAGTATTTTTAATACTGCAGCAGGTTGCTGAGTTTCCCACAGTCCTTACCTGCCGTGTGGGTAGAGGGGATACGGGGGTGTTTACAAAACACAAGTCCTTATGAGCCCTGCTCTTTGGAACATGGAAACCCATGATGTCTCTGGTTTCTTGACAGCAGTGTGTATGTGTGTATATGAGTGAGGAGTGACAACTAACATGGTCATGAGCACATTTACCCATCCAGGAACTTGGGTGATGAGAGACCTGTAAGTGGGATCTAACGGTCTTCTCTCTTCCCGGTAGGACGGCCTTAGCAAGATTTCGCCAGGCTCAGCTGGAAGAGGGGAAAGTAAAGGTTGGTTTAAACCTTCCTCGTGAGTTTTCCAGTAAGAAAGACGAGCGCCGGCAGGCTCCAGACTCCAGACCCTCCTCTTCTTGCCGGCGCTTCCCTGTATCCTAAAGGGTCTGTTCACCTGAAATGCAGGTGAAGCTCCCTGTCGTGGGGGCCGTGTGATGATCTGTCACCTCGATGATGTGATGCTTGGGTCTCCCTGTTATCCCAGCCCGGGCTCATGTTCAGTACTAGAAAGTGGGGTGTGCTCTGGGAAGCAGCTCTAACCTGAGACCAGCGGATGACCTCCACTCATGGAGACTCAGCCAGGTTAGGGCTAATATATGCTGTTCTTTGAGTATTTTTGTTTTGTTTTTTAAAAGTATCCACTCAGCCTGCACCTGCACCCACACACAGATACACATATTTGTTCTAAACACTGATCGCCGTCGTCGCTTAAGGCAGTATAAATATGCCGTGAAGTGGGTATAGCCAGGTGTACTTTTCCATTTCTCTGTGACGCTTGACCCTGAACAACACAAGTTTGAACCCCGTGGATTTGCTCATACACAGGTGTTTTTCAACAATAACTGCTATGGAGCTGCACGGCTGTGGTTAGTTGAATCTGTGGCTGCAGATGAACCGCGGATCCTGGGGGCTGATGCAGTCAGACTTGGATTAACCCCCACGTTGCTCGTGGCCAGGTGCAGGGGGCGTTTCCCTTGTGTGTTGGCTCCCGTCCCAGGTGCGATGCAGTGAGGAACCCCAATGTTGCTCGTGGCCAGGTGCAGGGGGCGTTTCCCTTGTGTGTTGGCTCCCGTCCCAGGTGCGATGCAGTGAGCGTTTCTGCCTGTGCGGTTATTTCCTGAGGAGAGATTGCAGAGTGAGCCTTAAGGCTTGGCGAAGCCCGCCGGGAGCTGAAGCTGCAGGTGTCTGTAGACTGTTAGACATTTGAGGCTTCAGGCCTGAGTCAGTTGTGACTGTTGCACGAAGCTTGTAATTTCGTACAAGGTAGTGGCAACATGTGTATTTTGCTTTTCCTTAGGAGCGAAGACCCTTCCTTGCCTCAGAATGTACTGAACTGCCTAAAGCCGAGAAGTGGAGACGACAGGTGCGGTTGAGCGAATTCGATCTTTGCAGAAACAGCGAGTCTCTGATTTTCATTATCTGCATGACCCTTAAACCATGTGTCTAAGAATTTTTAATTAGATATTTCTTATGCTGTTAGACTTATTCAAAAGTCATAAAAATGTATTACCTTTTATTTTTTTTACAGATCATTGGAGAGATCTCAAAAAAAGTGGCTCAAATTCAGAATGGTAAGCTGGCCCCTCTCTTTAAAGTGCTTGATTCTCGCATCCACAGCTCGGCGTGGGGACGTCAGCCCCTCGGCGGTCAGTAGAGCCGAAAGGTAGGACATGAGTGAGGGCAGAGAGGAGCTGAGAGCGCCGTTAGTCGGCTCCACCCATGGGCCGTTTATGGAGCGCTCACCTCACAAGGAGGAGTACACTGTCTTTTCTAAGAGCACATGGAATATTCGCCAAAATAGAGCGCATTTTGCATTGTAAAATAAATGCTAGCAAACAGAAAATAATTAAAATTTTTCAAAGTATAATTCACTGATTAAAACACAGTTAATGTAGCAATCAGTAACAGAAAGATACCTGGAAACGTCCTAATTATTTAGAAATTAAACATTCTTCTAAACAACCCATATACCTAAAGGAAGACCTCAAGAAAATTAGAAAATGTTTTTAATTGAATGATAATGAAAATGTAATGTCAGAATTCAGGGTATGAAAAAAGCAGTGCTTAGACGAAAATTTATAGCATTAAAGTAAAATAAAAAAAGAAAGGTCTCAAGTCAGTGATCCAAGCTTCTCCCCTAAGAAACCGAAAAGGAAAACGAGCAAATTAATTCCAAACTAAGCAGAACGAAGGAAATAAACAGAAGATGAGTGGAGAAAGTAGATGAAAAGTGGGTTCAATAAAGTCGATAAACTTCTAGTCCAGTTAGACTGATGAAGAGGAAAAGACGCAGGTCAGTAACAGCAGGAATGAGGCTGGGGATGTCACCGCAGTCTCATGGTTGAAAGGACTGGGGACCGCTAGACGCAGGTCAGTAACGGCAGGAATGAGGCTGGGGATGTCACCGCAGTCTCACCGTTGAAAGGACCGGGGACCGCTAGACGCAGGTCAGGGCTGTCAGTCAGCCGCCTAGCTGAGGCGGGCCGCTCCTCACAGGACACGCGCTAACGGGTAGTGGCTCCTAACCCTCGGTGGCGTTGCTCCCTCCAGCCCCGCCCGCCCCGGGCATTTCATGATATCTGGAGGGGCTTTATCTATTAGAGGAACTGAATTCATAGTTAAAACCTTTCCAGCAAAGAGGACTCCAGACTCAGATGGCTCCACTGGCCAGTTCAGGTATTTAAGGAATACCAGCTCCACAGTTTCTTCCGGAAGATTGAAGAAGGAACACTTCCCAGTTTGCTTTTTGTATATTTTAGTATGTGTTCCCTTGATCCTGAAATCAGAAAAAGACATTACAAGAAAAGAAAAAAGCTACAGGCCTATATTCCTTACTGAATTTGGCCATAAAAATCTCAACAAAGGATTGCATGGTTGATTCAGCATTCAAAAATTAACTCACTGTGTCATCATTTTAAAGAAGAAAAACCACACTATGGTTGTGATAAAAAATAAATAAATAAATTTAAAAAAAAAAATAAAGAAGAAAAACCATATTATCTCAATAGATGCAGAAGTATTTGACAGAGTTTCTCATGCATTCATAAAAACTCAGGTAGCTAACTGGGAATAAACAGGAACTTTTTCCTTTCCCTGATGAAACACTTCTACCAAAAAGCCTATAGCAAATGTCATGCTTAATGCTGCAAGATTGGATGCTGTCCTCCCAAAATCAGGAACAAGGTGAAGAGATCTAGTCTCACCTCTCCCATTCAACATTGTACTGGAACTCCTGGCCAGTACTGTAAAGCGAGGAAAGGAAATAAAGACCCAAAGACTGGAAGGGAAGAAAAATGCTCTGTTCCGAGACGACCTGGTTTCCTATGTAGATTTCCCAAGGAGTCCACAGAAGGATTTCCACAGTGAATAACTGGGTTTAGCCAGATGACAGACTAGAAACTCCGTACAAAGATGGTCAGTCCAGTTCTGTGTGCTATCAGCAGCGTTTGGAACTGGAGCATTTCTAAAAGTGTTGTTTACAGAAGCATCAGAAGGCGAGAGATGCTTAGATATAAGTCTGGTAAGATGCGCGCATGGTCTGTATGGTGAAAACTATGAAGCAGTGATGCCAGGTAGTAAAGAACCAGTGAAATGGAGACATCGTGTTTGTGAAGGGGAAGACTCAACATCAGAAAGAGGTCAGTTCTTTTCCCCTTTAAAATCTATCACAGAAACCCAGCATGGTGTTTCGGTTTATGTTGACGAACTGTAAAATTTACAACTTTGCCTTTCCGTATGAAATTGTAGCCAAAAGAACTTTGAAGAACAAAATTGGGAGTACCCATAATACCTAATTTCAAGATTCAGTGTAAGGCAAAAGGCATCAGGATAACATGGTGGTGAGAGGCAGACAGACCGACCAGGGGAGCAGAGCAAGGGGTGCAGACATAGGGGCACAGGCGAGTGGTCCAGCGACCTGACGAGGGAACAGAAGCGATTCAGTGGAGGCAAGGAGGGCTTCTCCCTCCCAGTGGGCACAGGGCGCTTCACTTTAGCGTGTCAAGGATCCCTGACCGTCTTCCCGCCTCTGGTGGGATGCCCCTGTCGCCAGTGACAGCGCTGCAGCAGACTCCTGTGCCGTCCCCTCAACTCCGCCCTGGGGGCTGCTTGTCAGAGGTGTCCCCGAGACCGGCAGACTGCTTTCCCGGAAGGACTGAGCCGTCACAGGCTGCCCGCCCCGGGGCCGACCCTGGACGCTGAGTGCCCCACCGCTGAGCTGTGGTGTGTTAGAGCTGGTGTGAATGGAGCCGCAGGACAGCGTCAGTTTGTATTTCTCTGGCTGCTGCCGAGGAGGAAGTTTTCCTTTGAGGGCTTTTCTGGTGCTGCTGGGACTCTATTCACAGTCGTCACCCTCCCGTGAGTTTGGTGTGGATGGTTTTACTCGTAAGCTGAAGTCATGTTTTTGCGTTGCCCACCTCTGTCGGTGCTGACACTCACTCTCGGGTGTGACGTGAAGCGGTGTTTTCAGGACATGATACGACATGTCTCTTTTCTTAGCTGGTTTAGGTGAATTCCGGATCCGCGACCTGAATGATGAAATTAACAAGCTGCTGCGAGAGAAAGGACACTGGGAGGCCCGGATCAAGGAGCTGGGCGGTCCTGACTATGGGGTGAGCGCAGCGGCCCGGGGCCGGCTCGGGGGCTTTGCGGGCAGCGTGGGTCCTGCCTCACTGCAGCCCCCGTGGGCCGGCCGCAGACGAGGCCCTAGAGAAAGGAAAGGAGCCTTGAAAGGGCCTGGTGTGTGTGCACGGGAACCGTGAAAGCACAGGGCCAGTGGGGTAGAAGGTCCCCCGCGCGGGCCCCAGAGTGTGTACCGGCCGGGCATCCAGAGTGAGCGGCTCAGTCTCCCTGGGCCGCTTGTGGAGACGACCTTGGCGCCGCACGTGCGTCCCTGAGCCTCCTGAGGACAGGGACAGCCCTTCCACTGCGGCTTCTGTGCTCGAGGGGGCCTGGAGACAGGCTGCTCTGTGCTTGCTTTGGGTTCTTATTTTTCCTCTGGATTCCTTAAGGCACTTATTTTGGAACGGTGACTTTCAGGCTTTTAGGACTGTGACCGGCTGTATGAAACACACAGTCACTGTGTCACAGTCCAGTACCACGAAGATGCGCTGAAAAGATGCCTGGTGTACCACACTGCATTGTTGCCGCACTTTGATATTTTCTACTCGGTTCTATTTTGATTTTTAATAAGTTGATAGTTATGACACATGTAGTGGAGTTCATGACCCAGACCTGCCCCATTTGCCCAGGTCTTTGAACCAATTGTATCTGGTCAGTGGCCTGTCGTGTAGTTACGTAAGAAACATGGGCAGTGTTTCTGTGTGTTAGTCTGGCCCCCTCTTAACACAGAGCCATAATTCTCGGGTCAGTGCCTGGCCTAAACCGAGGCATTTATCTTCACATTCCTTGAGCACGTGTGCTGGGAACACTGCCTCCGCATCCTCGTTATTTCTGTGACACTGGTTTAGCTCCCTGTCGGACGGCGTGAGTGCCCCTTGTTACCCATCCTGGAAGGGTTGCAAAATCTCCCAAAGTCAGTAGTGATGTTTCTATCTATTTCCTTCTGGAGTTTTCTAATGTTAAAGAAATTGATGTTTATTTCCTGGGTGTAAAAGGAACACGCTTAGGGGTGTTCACCTTTGGTTCAGGCATCTGGCTGTGTCACCATGTTCCATGCTTCATGGCCTCTCCCCTGCGGTACAGAGCCTCGTCCAGACTCACATCCTGTGGCCTGCAGGTGTTGCCATCATCGCTATAATGGAGAGAGTTCCATCTTCTGGATATTTCATTTGTCCTCTTCTACTAGTTGTCATGTAGATTTTTTGCAACTTTTTAAAGCTTTTTTTTTCTTCACTTAACATTGTGTTACAAGCAGTTTCTAAGCCAGTATAAGTGAGTCGTACGAACCGAACCGTCATTTGTCAGCTATAGAATATGTTCCACTCGTGAACATACTATAATTTACTTAAATCATCCATTTAGGTTGATCTTTAAAAGGATTAAAGAAAGTACTGGAGTGTATTTCTGTGTCCATTAAAATTTGCTACTTTTAGCGTCCCTGTCTTCAACTATATCTGGAAACATGGAAATAGTGGGCTTACTGATCAGATCCATTTTCTCTTTTTCCTTCCCCCTAAGAAAGTTGGCCCTAAAATGCTGGACCACGAAGGGAAGGAAGTCCCAGGAAATCGAGGTTACAAGTACTTCGGAGCAGCAAAAGACCTGCCTGGTGTCAGAGAGCTGTTTGAGAAAGAGCGTGAGTAGCCGGTGTTTGAGAGGGCGTCAGCCTAGGTCGTGGTTCTGGTTGTAAGCGGCGCCGTGTGCGGGGCACTGCCCGTGTCGTCGGGGGGTCACCGCTCCCAGGTGTGAATGGGAACCTCGTGCGTTGGGCGTTGCAGTGGCAAGCTCGGGGCACACCTTGGGTGGGAGCGGGAACCCAGAGCTGCGGGGCGCCGGGTTGCAGGCCCTGCACAGACTTGTCTCCGAGTGAACACAGAGACGCTGTGAGCGCAGTGTCCCAGTTGGCGTTTGTCGGGGCAGCGCTGAAGTCCATCACTCAGGTTCATGTTTCAGTGACTCGTTGGGCTGAAAAAACTCTTAACTGTAGGACAGACGACACCTCGGGCCCACGCCGCTGTGCACCAGTGGAGACGCGCGGTTCCGAGCCGGACACCTGGCTCTGGGCACCTCCGGAATGCCACCGGTCTGGAGTTTGCCTGCATCTTAATTTTGACTTTTCGAAAAGCAGTCCAAGCATTCCATAGGAAAAAGTGTGGAAAGCAGAGAAGGGCGAGACAGGGTTCCTCCCCCTGCTGGCGTTCTGCTGACCGCTTCCGATGCCGCCTTCATGAAACGCCGCTTGTTCTCTTTTTTGGCCTCCCTGGGAGGCTTTTGGGATCTCAGTTCCCCTACCAGGAATTGAACCCGGGCCCTGTCAGTGATAGCCTGGAATCCTAACCACTGGACCAGCATGGAACTCCCAAGCCCTGCTTCTTCTTAAATTGATTATGTGTGCAAACTAGTTTTGCATGTGTCATTGACATTGCTTAAAATAATTCAGAATGTAAATATCATACCATTTATTATGAAAGCAATAAAATTTTATTATAGACATGTAAAATACAGAAAATCAGAAAAAACACCCACATTTTCATATCCTACAGTTGATGGTTGTTGACATGTTTGGGTGTATTCCCTTTCTGATTTTTAAGGCTCCTAAAATGAGGTGGTGCTGTGTTTGTGTTTTTGTTTTTGCATTTACTTTGACTTTAAATTTATTCTCATGTTTTCCAGGCATCGGTTGTTTTTTTTTAGGAAGAAAGTGCCCAAGTTAGTCTTCAGGCGTGTAATTTAAATGGCAGCACAGCCCCCTCTTCCACCGTCCCAGTGCTCTGCTGGGGCTGCCCCGTCGCCGTTACTGTCTGTCTGGAGAGCTCCCTTCCAGGCCCTCCCTGCTCTTCCCTGCCTGTCTCATCGGCTGAGTCACGTCAGCCTGAGTGACAGGTGGCCCCAGCCCGGCTCCCTGGAGGCAGAGCAGCCCGTTTCCTGGCTCCTGTGACTGACGCGTTTGTCCTCAGGAATGGCTGGCCCCAGAGCCCTTGCTCCTGCTGCTGTTGCGGCGTCCGTCCTGCGAGCGCTTCTCTGTCTCCCTCCTTTGGGGTGGCAGGCTGTCCGTTATCCACTTAGAGCTTGTCCTCTCTCAGCGACAGTTTACCACCATCCCGCACCCCCAAGACGCTTCAGGCATGGACCCCAGGGCGAGCCCCGGCGGCGTCAGTTGGATCCCAGTTCCCTCCTGCGGCCGGAGCGCACGCGGAGCTCCGAGCCCGTCCTGGGCACGGCCCTCGAGGCGCAGGGCCGGGCAGGGTCACTGGCAGCTGCATGGCCGATGGAAGGGGGCTTCCCCGTACCTGCACCTGTCGTGTGAGGACCGTCCGTGTCCCCCCTAGTCCTCCTTGCAAAGCCGAGCGACTCGAAGGATGAGAGAGTCTCAGGGCTGACCCATGCTGGCTCTGACCACCCCTTCTGTGTAGGCTTTTAGCTACTTCCGCGTCTTCACAACTGTAACATTGTTGCTGTTACTTGAAACAGTATGTTACTTCTATTTTTTGTTTCCCTGATTACTAATGAAATTGACAGTTGAATTCAGTTACTATTAATCATTGAAATTTTCATACCTACAGGTTTCTTCTCCTTCAGTTAATCAGCTTTTATTCTTCGACCAGTCTGGACTTTCATTTCCCGTTTGATTTTCCAGAATTACTACATATTTTGAACAGTGATACTTAGTCTGAATGTATTTTCTTCAGGAATTTCTCATGGATCTTTTTTGCTTGTAGTTTCTTTTGTCTTCATTAGCCATTATGGCATTTCCTGTGAAAGCACCCCATGAAGCCGCGGTCAGGTGGTCACAGGACACCCTCCCCTTGCCGGGCAGTTCATAGTCCTGGGGGGGTCCAAGTTTTCACTGTTGTATGAACAATGCTGTGACGCTCATCTCCATAAAGCTTTGCTAGCTTTTGTTTTTGCTTTTTAAGTTACGATAGATTCCTTCTAAGTGACTGAGTCTAAAACGTCAACACTGGTTTAAAAGGGGTGTCGTGTGTGGCCCCGTTCCTAGTGGGGCGGAGTGCCCGTCTCATGGCGTTTTCAGGAACACGCGTGCTCTCTGCCTGCTCAGCGCTGTGTGGGGTGGCGTGAGTGTGGCTGTGAGGGGAACCCGGCTAAGCGGATGGATTCTTTCTTCCAGCCCTTCCTCCTCCACGAAAGACGCGCGCCGAGCTCATGAAGGCGATTGACTTTGAGTACTACGGCTACCTCGACGAGGACGACGGCGTCATCGTGCCCCTGGAGCAGGAGTACGAGAAGAGACGTAGGTCTGCAGGCGTCGCTGCGTGACTGCCGGCGTCTGGTTTGTGTTCTCGCCTTCGGGAAAGGGGGTTTCATCTTTCTTTTCCTGAGGAGTTTATTTTCTATTAGGACTTTGTAAAAAATTGAAGTATAGTTGATGTGCAATATTATATACAGGTGCACAGTATGATGATTCACAATTTTTAAAGGTATATTCCACTAGCAAGTTATTGGAAGAATATTTTCTATATTCCCTGTGTCGCACAATATATCCTGTTGTATTCTTTAGATTCCACAAGTAAGTGATAGCTTTCAGTGTCTGTCTTTCTGTGGCTTGCTTCACTTAGTGCGATACTGTCTAGGCCCGTCCACGTTGCTGCGAATGGCACAGCGTCATTCCTTGTTGAGCAGGATTCCATCATGTGTCTGTCTTCATTCATCTGTTAGTAGACCCTTCCGTTGCTTCCACGCCTTGGCTGTTGTAAATGGTGCTGCTCTGAACGTTGGGATGCTGTATCTTTTCTAATTAGTACCTCTGTTTATTTCGTGTATGAACCCAGGAATGGAATTGCTGGATCATGTGTTAGTCCTGATTTTGTTTTTTGAGGAACCTCAGGGTGTTGAACCGAGGACGATCTGGGTGTGTCCCCCGCCAGCCTCCCTGGAGCTCCCATGGGACCCTGCCTTTCTGTCTGGTGCCTGCCTGCTGGGGCCGGAGCAGGGTCACCCTTTGCAGGGGGCAGGCGTCGGTCACCTTTGCCCCGCATGGCGTGTAGCTTTCTCAGAGGCCAGAGTGACTGACGCCTGCTGTCCCTCGTCTGCAGACAGAGCCGAACTAGTGGAGAAGTGGAAAGCAGAGCGAGAGGCCCGCCTGGCTAGAGGAGAGAAGGAGGAGGAGGACGAGGAGGAGGAGGAGAACATCTACGCTGTGGCCGAGGAGGAGGTGCGGCGGCGCCGCTGCGCCGTGGCGGGCGGGGGGAGGGCACCCGGGCCGGGGTCGGGGTCAAGGCCCAGCCTGCCCCGGACGGGGGTGCGGGTCCCCTCGGGGTCCCAGTGAGGCCCGCTGAGGGCGCTCGGGGACCTGCACTCCACGTCGGGTGGCTTAGCTGCGTCTCAGAGCTGGGCCCTCTGGACCTGCTGGGCCTGGATTGGTAGGCACGTGCGAAGCCCCTGACCTCACTGAGCTTCAGTGGCAGAGCCGGTAGTGTGTCTGTGGGTCCTAAACCCCCACGCCCACCTTGCCGTGGGAAACCGGAGCAGAGGCCGCCTCAGGAGTCCCCGGTGGGGTGGAGCTGCGGCCCCGCAGGCAGAGCCCCCTGCTCCCAGCTCCCCCTTCGGGCTGGCCCAGGGTGAAGTGGATTTGTGGACTGGGCCAAGGGAGGGCAGTCAGCCAGGCCGGGACGACGGGTCGGGCCCTGTGAGACACCGCGTGGTGTGCCCACACGGCAGCGACACGGACGCAGGCTCAGGAGCTTGGCGACTTGGGCACGGTCGCTCGGGAGCTGGCAGAGCTGTGGGGCATGCCCTCAGCAGGCATTTGAAGCAGGAAGGCAGCGTGCCCTGCCAGGGTTTTCTCTGGTGCAAACGACCTGTTCACTTTTTCACAGGGTGTTGGCTTACTTGGTGGCCAGCAATGAGTGAGTGAGGCCCACTCAAGGGGCCTCGCAGCCACACGCTCTGTCAGTAGCTCAAGATCCCAGGGCCAGCCGGGTCAGCAGGCCCCGTAGGAAAACGGCAGGTGTGACAGGAGCTCTGGGTAGCGTCGCAGGGCGGGCGAGGCCGTGAACACTTCCTGGGGAGGTGACCCTTCAGCGGAGCTCAGAAGTTGAGGTGGCGGCAGGGGCGGCAGGGGACAGCACGCGCGGACGGCCCCAGGGGAGTGTCGGGGCCAGAGGACCAGCTGGTGGCTAGAGCCCAGAGCGGGGCCTCGGCATGAGCAGAGACTGCGGGAGGTGAGCTGGGACCAGCAGGGGCCCTGACCTCCCCAGGGGAACGGGTCTTCCTTCATCATAAGAGTGATGGAAAAGCACCAAAGGGTTTAAAAAATCGTTTGTGTTGGAATCATCATAGATTTAAGGCAGCTGCTATGAGAGGTCCCGCAGGTCCTTTCCCCGGGGCCCCGGAGGCTCTGTCCTGAATGCCAACGGCATGGCTTCCACGAGGAGCCTGCCCGCTGTGACCCGTGTGTGCGGGGCTGTGTGTGCCGTCACTTGTGTGGATCCCGGGGCCACAGCGGCGTTTCTTGTTTGCGTCCACCCACTGGTGGGGTGGGGGCAGACGGGACGGTCCGGCCCTGAGACTGGCGGCCAGCGGACCCAGCTCCGCACGGACCTCCTCTGCCCTCGGGCCCCCAGGGCTGTTCCTTAGTCGTGAGTGAGCGCTGCTGACTCAGGCAGCGTCTGAGTGATGCTTCTGTGCGTGTGGTCCCTTTTTACAAGTTTAGTTTTAAAAATAGATAATGTATTCCGGGCTTCCCTGGTGACTCAGATGGTAAAGAATCTGCCTGCAAGTTGGATCCCTGGGTCAGGAAGATCCCCTGGAGAAGGGAATGGCAACCCACTCCAGTATTCTGGCCTGGAGAATCCCACAGACAGAGGAACCTGGAGGGCTACAGTCCACGGGGTCACAAAGATAGTATGTTCACATGACTCACAACCCGAGAAATACATAAAGGTTTCACACAGCTCCCCATTCGCAGCCTCGGCCTCCAGGCCCGGCTCTCGCTGAGGTCGCTGGCCTCTCTGCTGCTTTTCCTCCTCGGGCAGGAGGCCGCACTGTCCACGGTGCGGTGTTGGCTCTTGCACTTGGCGCTGCTGAGGAGAGCGCGTCCCGGGACTGATTTCCCCTGTTACGCGGCTGCCCGCGGGGGCCTCTCGGGCTCCCCTCCGCACAGCCTCTGGTTGCTGTCTCTTGCAGTCCGACGAGGAGGGCGGCCCGGACAGCGGCGGGGAGGACGGGCAGCAGAAGTTCATCGCGCACGTGCCGGTGCCATCGCAGCAGGAGGTAGGACGCCGGGCCCGCCGCGTGCTTTTCTGGGTCCTTTTTGTCCCTGCGGGCAGCTCTGACTTTGGGAGGAGGGGGCTGGGGCCGTGGACGCAGGGCCGGCCTCCGCCCCAGCCCGCCCCTGCCACCCGCAGATCGAGGAGGCGCTGGTGCGCAGAAAGAAGATGGAGCTGCTGCAGAAGTACGCCAGCGAGACGCTGCAGGCCCAGAGCGAGGAGGCCCGGCGGCTCCTGGGCTGCTAGGCGCCCTCCCGCGGCCTCCCCGCCCTGCTCACGCACACCTGCGCCCCCGAGGGCCGCTGGCTGGACCCCTTGGCGTCGCCCCAGCCATGTGCAGCTGACGTGAGAGCCCGCGCATGCGTGTCCTGAGCATGTAGGATGGGCTGCTCCCGCGGCCTGCAAGTGTCAGTGGCCGCCCCCCCATCGGTGGTGGGGGCGGCCAGCTGGGGATGCCCCTGAGAGCACAGATGTCTGTGATGCCTCCTGCGCGCTGCGAAGACGCCCCTGCCACCCTCGTGGCCACCCTGCCACCCGTCTCGCCCCCAGCTGGCAGGAGGGCGCGTTTGCTGCTTTCATCTGGGAGTGGTTTTGCACAGAGCTATTTTTATTAAAGACTTTTGTATGAAAGGCAGCCTCGGGCTTCGGGCTGTCTGTGTGAGTCCTTGCCTGCGATAGGAGCTGAGGGGGCTAGCCGGGCGGGGCCCATCTGGGTGCTGAGGGTGCAGGGCGTCCCGCCCAGCCCGAGCCTACGGCCCTGGGTCAGCGCTGAGGTGGGGCCCACGTTTCCAGCCCATGGGAGCGCCGAGGGTGCCCCGGGGTGGTCCAGATCTGTCAATCCCGCCTAGTCTCTCCTTCCCAGTGGGGAGAACCCACCGCAAGGGCCCCAGCTCGGGGCAGGTGAACCTGGGGGTCCCCACCCTCAAGAGGGGTCCTGGGCGTGTTGGCAGAGCCCTGTGGGCCTCGTGGAGCAGGCTGTGCCAGCCTGAGTGAGGGGCGGCCTTCAGCCTGGGACCTGCCTGACAGAAGTTCTGAGCCGGGGACGGCGGGCGTTGGGCGGGTGGGCAGTGGCCGTGGGGAGACCGCCCAGGGCTTCAGGGCTGTGAGGAGGGCGGGAGGGACCGCCCTGGGAACCCCTCAGCCGAGCCCCTGGGCAGGTGTGTGCGGAGAGCTGGCAGGGGTCGAGGCTGGAGGGCTGGGGGCCCCGGGGACCCAGCTCCCGCCCGGGCCTGGCCCGGACGGGCCTCAGGAGTGAACACGGGCGCTTGGAACAGGCCCCTCTGGGCCCGGGCCTCCGCGTCCCCATCTGAAAGGCTGGATTGGACCTGCTGCCTATGCGTTCACCCCGCAATTTTGCAGCCCCCCGGGGCAGGCAGAGGGGCAGCGGGCCCTGAGACCGCCTGGCCTGGGTCCCAGCCAGGCGGCGGGTGGGGCCCAGCGAGGGGTTTCCCTCCCCACCCCTGGACTTCCAGGGCCTTGCAGTGGCTCCCGGGACGGGTGCAGGCAGCGTGGGCACCAGCATCCCGGGTGAGAACGCCGGGCCCTGATGTGGAAGCGGCTTGCCGAGGACCCACAGGCGTCCGCGGTGGAGACGGGCCCAGCCCCAGGTTTCTTAATCTGCCCCGCGGGCTCTGGCGCGTTTCTGTCCGGGAGCACTCCGCAGGGGTCCCCCCAGGCCTGGACCGTCGGTGGAGTGCGGCCACTGGTGGGGCGTGGTCACCGTGGTCACGGAAGCTCATGCCCAGAGGCGGCACAACCTGTCCCAGGAAACGTTGGTTGACGAAATCTCTCTTGTGACTCAGACAAGCTTTGGCTCTGCCCGCAATTTCCAAAACAGACGTGTCCACCTTGCTCTCCGCTCTCCCCTCCTCCCCATGCCCGCCCCAGCCACCCGCCCAGTGCCCTCCCCCGCGAGCCGCTGCCCCCGACACCATGGGCCAGCCTGCAGTGAGCAGGCGCTGGGGTCAGCCTTGTTACCCCGAGAAGGCCGCACCCCATTTCTGCCGGCATCAGCGTCCCGCTGCTTCCTCCCAGAGCTCCGCGGGACGGTGGGGATGCCCCTCGCTCTCTTCCAAGCTCTGACAGCAGCATCCACCTGGGACTTGGGCGGTGTCAGGGCCCCAAAGAGCAGATGGTCTACCGAGAGGGTCACACGCCCCACCCACCGCCTCGCCGTCTGGCTCCCTTCCTCACAAACAGAGCAGCCTGTGGAGGGAAAGTCCCCTGGGGGCTGCCGGGCTCGTCTCTGCACTGAGCCTGGGCTTCCGCCCTGGAAGGATGAACTATTCCCCCGCCTCCCCCAGCCCCGCTGTGGGGCCAGGCAGCTGTGAGGGGCCTCGGGGCAGGGGGGTGGGGCAGGGGGAGAGGTGAGTGGGGGTCCCCAGCGTCTAGCTTGTCCTGGTGTCTGTCTGGCAGGCCCGCTCAGCAGGGACTGGGGGCCGTGAGAAGCTGCGAGGGGAGGAAGCCAGGGCGGTTCCCCCCGGGGGGCACAGCCTGGGGTGGGGCCGCAGCGGCTGTCCTGAGGTTGCCCTGGCCACCAGGGGCCCTCCCAGCCCTCAGCCAGCACCAGCCCAGGGCTCCTCAGTCAGCAGCTGCTGCAGCATATTATTACGTTCTCGCAGCTCATTTTCTCGTGTTCTGCAGCAGGCATGCGTCGGCATTAGGAGCACGGTGTCATGGCTGATGTTGGGTCTTCATGGTGTTTTTCCACCTTTTTTCTGAACCGGGGCACATTTTCAGCCCTAGCCTGGTCTCTGCCCATGAAAGAAAACTCGGATGGTGTTGTTCGAGGCTGTATATTTTAACAGCGGTGACTGTAAACGGGAAAAGGTGGGAAAGGAAGGGAGGGAGGAAGGGGAGAAAGGCTGCCTCTCCTCTTGGCGGAGTTCTGACCCCGGGGACGCGGGTGTCACGGCAGATGCCTCCGTCTGCCGGCGAGCCTGGCGCCCCCGTGTGGCAGGGCGCACAGTGCCGGTTCATCCCGCCACCCCACCGCTCTCTTGTAAGAATATTAAATTCTTTTCGGCTCTGCGGGTCTTTGTTGCTGCACCGGCTTGTCTGCAGTCGCGGTGCACGAGCTTCTCATCGCGGTGGGGAGCACAGGCTCTGCGGTTGAGGCATGTGTGCTGAGTGGCTCTGGAGCACATGCCTAGTTGCTCCACAGCACGTGGGATCTTCCTGGACCTGGGATCAAACCCATGTCTCCTGCATTAACAGGCAGACTCTTTACCTGAGCCACCACGGAAGCCCAAGAATGTTAAATTCGTGACACATTTTTTAAAAATACATTTTTATTGATTGATTGATTTGCTGCATTGAGTCTTAGCTGCGTCACGTGAGGGCTTTCATTACTGTACATGGGCCCTCTAGCATGGCGCAGTAGTTGGAGCAGACTTAGTTGCTCCGTGGCATGTGGGATCTTAGCTCCCAGACCAGGCATTGAACCAGCCTCCCCGGTGATGCAAGATGGATTCTTAGCTACTGAACCACCAGCAAAGTCTCTCGACACATTGTGAAAAATTTGGGGGATGTGCGTTACTTATCTAAGATTTGGGGCATTAGGTGAGATCAAGATTTTTGCATTACTGCAGTTCAAAGGAGTATAATTCAGATAAAATGCCACTCAGGAATTTACCTCCAAAGAGAGGAAATGCAGGCATTTTTTTAACATGACTGAGATATACTTGACAGACCATAAAAACCTACTGCTAACGTACAACTGAATGATTTTAATAAATCTGGGTCATGCAGCCCTCTCGACAGTCCAGTTTTACAACCGCCCCCTCACACCACAAATGCAAATGGTGGCTGGGTTTTCTGGCAAAATCCATACCCAGGTCAGCGTTCCTCCCCCTGCAAACCGGTTCCAGGAAAGGCCAATTCAGCTAGCCAGCCACGTGTCCAGGGCACCCACAGCTGTCCAGCCTTCTTCCTTCCTCTCCCCCTGCCTCCAGTGGCAGGACCTTGGCCTGTCCTATCTCCTGGACACACCTTTCCCTCTCCCCTCTCCACCTGGTTCTGTGGGAGGCCACTCAGAGCTGAAGGCAGATGTTGTTTTCTGGCGCTCGGGGCTGTGAGTGTCCCAGAGCTAGCCAGAGCTAGCCCAGTGCGTGGAAGCCTTCTGTCCCAGGCCCTTCAGTCTGCTTCTGCCCTGGATAGAGGCTGTGTCCTGTGGCTCCAACCTGATGCACCAGAGTGGGGCCCCCAGACCTGCTCTCCCTGGCACCTGGGGGCCTGCCTGGTGCCACTGGGCATCTCCCATGGGACTGGAGCGCGTAGCTCTTGCCCTTCCTCCGTGGGCCTGCCTCATCTCCTGGCCCGGGCCCTTTTACCAGCTCAGCCAGTGAAGGCGGTCCAGGCTCTCGGGCGTCCTGGTGGACTTCCTCTCTGTGGTCTCCGTAAGCTACAGGAAGTCCCTCTTCCCTTGTCTGCTGGGGAGGGCATGGATGTTTCTCTGCCTTCTTCACTTAAATATTCCAAAGGCTTAGAAGCATACCTGACCCATAACAGGCATTAACCAAAATGTAAAATTCCATGGATTTGGAGTTCTGTAGGAGCCCCTGACAAAGGCCAAGGGTGTTCTCAGTTCCTTTCCATCCGGATGACTGTGGAGACTCTGGGGGAATGGGTCCTATTTGATCTAGGAGCCCCATGGACAGCAAAGACATCCGAACAGTCAATCCTAAAGGAAATCAGTCCTGGGTGTTCATTGGAAGGACTGATGCTGAAGCTCCAATACTTTGGCCACCTGATGCGAAGAACTGACTCATTGGAAAAGACCCTGATGCTGGGAAAGATTGAAGGCAGGAGAAGGGGACAGGGATGAGATGGGTGGATGGCATCACCGACTCAATGGATGAGTTTGAGCAAACTCTGGGAGATAGTGAAGGACAGGGAGGCCTGGTGTGTTGCAGTCCATGGGGTCGCAAAGAGTTGGAAATGTCCGGGTGACTAACAACAAAGCCCCTTATAGATAATTGGGTCTCATTTCTCTGAAGAGCCCTGGTGGACCGGACCATCTGAGGAGCTGGTCCACCCTTCCACAGAACTCCCCACAACCCTCCCTCGTTCCTCAGCTCAGGTAAGTCTTATAAGGTGGGTCAGTTCCCTCAACTGGACTCAAGTTCCCAACTGAGCCAGCCCATTTGGGCAGCTGCTTTCACCACTGTAAAGCATCTGCCTACAATGCGGGAGACCCCGGTTCAACCCCTGGGTCGGGAAGCTCTCCTGGAGAAGGAACCAGCAACCCACTCCAGTATTCTTGCCTGGAAAAATCCCACGGACGGAGGAGCCTGGTGGGCTACAGTCCATGGGGTCGCAAAGAGTCGGACACGACTGAGCAACTTTCCCTTTTCACTTCCCACCACTGCTACGCAGCCTTTTGCGCTGGGATCCCCCAGCCCTTTGGCTCCCCCAAAACTAGCCCCCACCAAACAGGTCTCCCCAGTCCCACTGTCCCAGCTTTCTGGGGGGTCACCTTGAGCACATGGCCCCACAAGTTCTCCTCTCAGTTCTGTAGCCAGCTTGGATTTGGGGCCCTTTTCGCTCTTCCTCCTCGCAGCGTGTCCCAGGCCTCTCCCTTTTCCAATACAGGGAAATGAACTGTCGGCCCCCTGCTGTGAGCCCCGCAGTGACACTGCCGAGCGTGTCCACGCTAGATCCGTTCTGGAGGAGGCCATTCTGGGTCCAAGGTCTGAATCAACAGTCCCGGAGACCCTCCCCTGCCCTCGAAGCCGCTCCAGACTGAGTTTGGGACGGCCCACGTAGGAGATCCCTGGGCGTCCATAGGCGGTGGGGGCACGGCGGGTGTGGGGGCGCTGTGGGCGGGCTTAGGGGCGGGGCCGGGTGCTGACCTACCGGGGGCTGTTCTCAGGGACTGGGCGGGGCCGAGGACAGTGCTGGGGGTGGGGTCCGGCCGGGGCGGGCCTGAGATTGGATTCTGATTGGGTCCAACCTGGGGGAGGGGCCGATGGGGGCGGGGCCGAGGGCCGCGCAGGGGGCGGGGCCCGGTCGGGGGCGGGGCCCGGCGCGGGCCGAAGGGCCGGACTGGCCTGGCGCCGCGCGGAGGGCCGGACCCGGCGCTTCCCGGGCGGAGTCGCGGCCCCGGGGCCTGACCGGCGGGGCGGGCCGGGGCGGGGCGGCCGGCGGGCGGCGGCGCCCCTTCCCCAGGTGTTGCGGCGCTTCCACGTCGCCAGGCGGTCCGCGGCTTGCGCCAGCCCAGGCCGCCCCAGCGTCCGGAGCTCCGGCCTTTGGGCTCCCGCGCCATGGCCGGGCCGGGCCCCGGGGACCCGGACGAGCAGTACGACTTCCTGTTCAAGCTGGTGCTGGTGGGCGACGCGAGCGTGGGCAAGACGTGCGTGGTGCAGCGCTTCAAGACCGGCGCCTTCTCCGAGCGCCAGGGCAGCACCATCGGCGTGGACTTCACCATGAAGACGCTGGAGATCCAGGGCCAACGAGTAAAGGTGGGAGGCCGGGCCCGGGGCCCCCACGGCTCTAGGGGTCGGCCCCCGCTCTGGAGGGTCTCCCCTGCGGGGGTGGGGGCCGCGGCAAGCGCCTGACCGCTCCGTGGCGGCTGGGCCCCCTGCCCTTCCTCCGGTCCGAGCAGGCCTGGGCCTTGGCGTCGGGGCCGGCCTCCGTGCGCAGATCGCGGGCCTCGGGGCGTGGGGGTGCGCGTGCTTGGGGGTGCGGAGAGAAGGCCCTGCCCTCCGAGCTACATCCCCACCCCCGGGGACTTTGCTCCAGTCTCCGGTCCCCGGCGGTGGGGAGCCTCGGGTACAGGCCCCGGGGGTGTCGGGCCGGCTTGTCCCTGCCCCACCGCGGTCAAGGCCCCCAGCTTGGCCCTCGGTGGGGACCCCAGGCCGCAAGGGACACCCTCCCCGCCTCGACCCCGCACGGCTAGGAGGGAGCAGGAAGTAGTTGCTTCTGGGACCGGAGGGCCAAAACTTTTTTGTCAGAATTTCCGGGCTGGCCACGCCTCCCTGCAGTGTCTTTGTGGACCGGGTGGTGGAACTTGACTCGGCCGGGCGGCCCGGGTCCCCTCCCCCAGCTGCCGCCCGACGGGAACTGAAAACTCGGCCCGGAAAGTGAGGGCGAGCCCCGGGCTCCCTCGGTGGCTCCCCAGAGCCGGCAGGATGTAGTTGCCCCAGCGTCCTGGCGTTGGTCTGACGACCAGTGTTTGTCATTCGCCGGCCAGTCTCTTAACCTGGGTGTCAGCCCTCCCTGGTGGATTGAGAGACCATTGTTCTTGCTCGGCAGCTTCGCTGAACCGCGCTGGACCGACATCCTTTCCTCTCTTTCATGGTTTTGCGTTCCCACCGGCTCTGGCCTGGCTCCCAGGAGCCCTGGGCAGGGGCTCCCCGCCTTACCTCCGTGTTTTCTGGTTGAGCCCCCATACCGTGGGCCCGGCTTTGCTGGACTGCCTGGGTCTGCTACTGGTTGCCTTTTGCCAGAAAGCTCAGCTCTTTGTTTCTGCAAAATAGGGATAATTTTTGGGTGTCTCCTCCCGCTTGCCTCACCGTGGAGAAGTCAGCCAACAGAGGTTACAAGCCCCCAGCAAGCCTTTGGAGTAGATGACAGGGAAAGCAGAAACTCCCTGCCCCGAGGGTTCCCTTCTTTTTTTTTTAATAGTCTTTTGTGTTTGTGTGTGATGGGTCTCCTTAGGATAGAAAAAAGAACGAGGTGTGGCAGGCAGCTTTGAGTCATTCCTCAGGACCACCCTGTGGGGCAGGTGGAGGGAAGAGCTGTGGGCTGGGTGGAGTGTGTCCGGGATGGGTTGTGCCTTGAGGCGCTTGACGTGGCCAGCTGAAGGATGGGCGTGAAGGATTAGTGCAGATCAGTGGTCAGGGAGGGGGCGAGATTACAGCCTGGGCAGAGCCCTGGGTGCCCTGTGTACCTGCGCAGGTTGTGCAATGCAGGGCAGAGCTCTGCGGTTCCGTTTCCTGCTGGTCACCTCCGAGGTGTTCTTCCCGGGGGGCAAGCGGGTGTGGGTCTGGGATGGGGAAGCGATGTAGGCAAGGCAGCCCCCCTTGGGTCACGGCGGCTGACCCTCCCCAGAGCCTGCGGTCTACCAGCAATTGCACAGATGTGCCCTGGTGCTCAGCCCCTCCTCACACGGGCCGGGCCTCCCCAGGCACACAGCTGGGAGGTGACAGACAAGGAAGTTTTCTTCCACTTTTCTGACTCCACCGCATTGGGGTCTTTCCCATACACCCGACTGCTGCTTCCGTTTGCGTGCAGTGGGAAAGCATGTTGTAAAAACAGGCAATGTAAAAATAGGCAATTATTTACATTTTGCAGCCAGAGAAACCTGAAGCCTCAGCACTGAAGACTGTGACCCGAATCTGGGAGGTGGGGGTTGGCGGTGGGGAGACAGTCTTCTGATTCCTGGATTCTGGGCTCTTGGACTCAGCAGGTCCTTTCTCCTCACCCATAGATATCTTTGGGGTGTCTTCAAGCCATGTGACTTTGAAAATAAAAAATAAAAAAAGTTTATCGAAGTTCCGCTTACACACAGCAAGCCTCCCTCCCTTCGGGTGCCCAGGTCTGTGATCTTGACAAATGCGGGCAGCCGTCAGCAGCACCAGCATGTACAGGGGGCCGATTCCTCCCATCCACCCAGAACGTTCCCGGTGTCCCTTTGTGTCAGCGTCCTCCCCGACCCTGGGCCCTGGCAGCTGCCCATCCGTTTTCTCTCTGGTTTCAGCAGTGTGACTTTAACTGGAACCCTTGACGAGCCAGATTTCATGGTTGTTTCTGCAGAAGGCTCGTCCACATCAGCGATTTAGTTTAAAACCTTCCCAGGCCTGTGCGGGTCCAGCGAGTCTCCAGTGTGATCTCCTGAGCGGCCTCGCCGGTGCTGGCCGGCTCTCGGTAGCACTCAAAGAGCCCCAGAGAGGGATCACCTAGCTCCTCTGGGCTGCAACGTTTGGGGTGCTGTGGGCTGAAGGGGCGGGCCAAGCGGCTGCCGGGTCAGAAGGGCCTTAACCCTCTTCTCACCCAGTAGAGCAATGCTAGTACTTGTGTCTAGTTTTATATTTAGGTTCTACTTGTCTTTATTTAGATGAAGAGTTCTGCTTTCCAAGAAATAGTTAGGGCCATCACAGATTGAATTCAATCCCTTTATTTCAATAGTCACTTCCTCTTGCAACCGTAATGCCATCCCAGCTCCTTTCCAAGAGGGCTGGGCCTCTGTCTGCCCTGCCCACATCATCTCCCTGCCTCAAACAAACTCTCCAGCCTCACTAGCCCTCTCGGTCCCTCCAACATGCCTGCCTCAGGCCTTTTGCACCTGCTGCCCCGCCTGCCCACATTCTGCCCCCAGATCTCCGTGTAACAGCTGCTTCATCAGTCGGTTGCTGTTGCCCCAGGCGCCTCTTCAGAGAGGCCTTTCCTGACCTCCGAGGCCCTCCACCCCATTGCAGGGTAAGTTCAAGGGTATGTTCATATCACTTACCAGGACTTGACCTTGCCTTGTTCGTGGATCCAGTCTGCCCTGCGTACCCCACACCTTGTGAATCCCCACACCTGCCACAGTGTTAGATGTACAATGCTCACTACATGCATGGTCCTTAGTTTTTATTTAATGGGAGGAAGCTGAGGCCAAAATAAGGGAAGTGACCAGCACGCCCAAGGCCCCACACACATCAGCAGCAGAACCAGGCTTTGGACCCGGGATCTCCCTGGCTCCAAGTCCAGCGCCGACTTTTACACCTGACTGCCCCTCAGCCCTTCTGAGTCCATGGCGATGCCCCCGAGATTCTGCGTGTTAATGACTAGTGAAGAGGCAGTTGTGGCCACCACACTGGGAGAGTAGCGTGTGGACTGGGGGCATTCCCGAGATTTTTAGGAATGAGGGTTGAAGTTGAAACCCCAAGGACTTTTCAGGGTGTTGTTGGCTAACAGAACAGCAGCGCCCAGGGCTCCTGGAGTGCTCTGCTGGGGGGAGGCTCTGGCCTGCAGGCTGAACCTGGAGCGGGGCTCTGGGGGCTGCAGGCCTCTAAGCAGTGGGGGTCTGGAGGTCTGGGTCTCTCGTCTGGCTCCGTTCAGCCTCTTCCCAACCCTGGCCAGTTCAGTGCCCTGCTTGGAGCCCTGGGCTGCCTCCTTCATGAAACGGGATGACTCGCTCTGCCTACCTGTCAGGGTTTCTGGGCAACAATGAACTCACTCAAAACAGTTAAAAATTCCCCTTGTGTCTTTGGATAATCCATCCCCATGGGTCAGAATTCCATAGACATAAAAGGCTATGCAGTTAAAAACTCTCTTCCATTTCTGTCCCCCTTTAAGAAGGCAGGCAGGGTAGTCCGTCTCTTGTCTATCCTGAAGGTGCTACTGTGGATAAACCAAGGAACTCCGAACATAAGGGATTATATTATTGTTGCTGTTGTTAGCATTTTCCTCCCTAGGGATTATTATTAAGACTATTTCTTAACCAGCCTGGCCCCCCACCTCACATGCCCCAGGAGATCTCGGCCGGTTCTAAATCCCGGACGCAGCCCGAGCATCGCTCTCCCAGCTTATCTGGGACGACACAGAGGCCTGTTACGTGAACTGGTCTGCACCTCACCGGGGGCATGCAGGCAGGCTGGCCCCGGGGGGCTGCACCCCTGTATTGGGCTCTGCCGGGGTCACTGTCCCCTGCGCCGTGGAGTTCAGTCTCTGCCCCGGGGCCCCGGGCCCACGCTCAGGACCTTGAACCCAGCAGCAGTCCTGACCTGCGAGGGGCAGGGCTGGGGTGGAAGGCGCAGGCTTCTGTTTGAAATTTGCATCCTCAGCCCTTCCCACCAGTGCTCTGGCCTTGCTCACGTGCTTTTTCCTATTTGGATAAAATTAGTCTGACTTTGCTAATTTTGATCACAAATAGCAAAAGGACCATTGGGTAAGAGAGGAGTTCTGGGCCCTGCTGGTGGTCTGAGGAAGTGTGTTCTGGGTGCTGTGACGGCCACCCTCAAGGCAGAGGACCTTGCCTCCCAGGGGCCCGCCAGCCCCGAGGCAGCAGGTGTGGTGGGGAGACGCCAGAAGGGGGGCTTTGCTGCATGGTCTGTTCCCCGGTCACCCCCGAGCTGGAGGACCCAACGCACAGCAGAGCGTCAGCACTGGGAGCTCAGGCCGGCGTGGGTCAGCTGTGAGGCGTGGTTTCAGCCCATTCTCTGCTCCCCTCGCCCCGTGTGACCCCCGCAGAGCTGGTTCTCTTCGGAGGCTCTGGGCATGAGGGATCGTGGGGGGCCTGGCAGCCCTCCTCCCCCGCCCCCATCTCCCCAGCACCCACCTCTGTTCTCGTGCTCTGCTCCACGTGGTCCTTGCTGTCCTGTGAGACCCCATTTCGCAGATGGGGAGACGAAGGCCATGCGGGCAGGCCTGAACCAGAACCTCGTCTGACACCTCCTGATTGCTGTTTGCACGCCCCGTACCGCTGCCAAAGACACTCACGCACCACAGAAAGCTTTGCGACCAGTGGAACATCTAG